GAGAGAGAGAGAGAGAGAGAGAGAGAGAGAGAGAGAGAGAGAGAGAGAGAGAGAGAGAGAGAGAGAGAGAGAGAGAGTGTGTTTTCAATAGATTTTTCTCTATACAGACCGTTGGAGCAGACGACTGCAGAATGACACGAGACGTCAATCAGTGTTCAGGTTGCAGGATGAGTATTGTTGCTTTGCCTATGGTAGGTGACCACTTCTGCAGACTGGACATTCGGGTGCGGACTGTGGAAGCATCGCATCCAATTCTCGCAGTTGCAGTTGCCGCACCGAATGGCACGACGTAGACAGATATCGCAGGCAACATGTGTGTGTGTGTGAGAGAGAGCATGGTGGAAGTGAATAACTTGAGTGGTTAGGGGTGTGTGTGCATGTGTGTGTGTGTGTGTGTGAGAGAGAGAGAGAGGAGAGAGAGAGATGTGTTCAAATGTGGATCGATATTGGCCATATGCAGCTGATTATGCTGCTGAAGAACTCAAAGATTTCCTGCAAGTTGTCAGTCTGTAAGTCTTCTTCTTCTTCTTCTTCTTCTTCTTCTTCTTCTCGTCAGTCTTCTTCATTTTTGTCAGTCTTGTTCTTCTTCAGAATGAAAGGGTTGATAACATGCATGCAGCAGACATCAGAGCAGCAGGCAACAAACATGCAGAGCCAGTACATATCAGTTGACATACATTCAGCACACAGCAGGCAATATACATGCAGACACTCCCCCAACCCCAGCACCTCCCACCCAGACCAACATTGCAGATTCGGGGTCCTCTCGCCGAGCGCAGAACGACCCTGGTTTCGGAAAAAAAAAGAAAAAGCTCTGGGTGGTTTTTTGGCCCAACCGGCTTACCCGGGCGGCCCCCCCGGGCCCAGCCCGGCCAGGCAGCGTTCTCACTCAGCTCTGTATCTTTTTTTTCTTTTTTTTGCTTATCATTGCGTGTTCTACATGAAGATTCATTCTCACTTTGTACATTCAGTAAGTGGTGCAGGGAGACAGACGGTCACAATCCCCAAGAGGCCGAATAAGGGAAGAATGAAACGACAAAAAGACAAAAGCACTGAGGCCCATTACTGCACGGCACCTTAGTTCACACTTTCCTTTTTTTTTCCGTGGTGAGATAGTAGCGCCGCCCATAGTTTCCGTTTTTTCAGTAGCTGTTTCAGGCAAACCATCGATAGAGACCGAAAAATCAGCTGCTTATCGGACTGCCGATCTCACAGATGGGCAGAATCCGGTCGGGGTAGATCGTGACGTAGCGTTACACCCGAGAAGGTAGTAGATCAGCCTGGCCACTTTCTTTTTTCACCACCACGTGCTGCGGCCTGACCCTCAGTATTCATTCAGCCTGACCACTTTATTTTGAAGGTCTGAAGTGGCAGGGTTGACTTTTTTTCCTCCAGTGGTTAGCCGATTGGCAACCTCTGGTGCAGGCAGGAGGGGCAACAGTCTCGTAGATCGGCCAGACGACCATGGTTCTCTCCTGGTCTATCATGGATTATTCTAGATCCTAGCTACCCGCATTGGTACCTTGCTAAAATGTTTGATATGCTTATGATGTCCTTAAATTGACTCAAAGTGTTTGAATTTGTTACTGATTTGCAACCTAAGTTGTGAAGAGTGTGGTGATCTGTTGATGGAAAGTAAACTGTCTGAGATGCAAAGGCCTGAATTTGAAATCAAGGGGGGAAAAAGGGCATGCCGGGTGGCAAAATTTCGGTACGAGCTCTTCCTAGACATCGATTAAAATTGAAATGTTATAGAGAAGATTAGCATGGCCCCTTCGCAAGGATGGCACACGTCGAGAAATTTTCCCAAAATAAAAAAGCTGGTACAGGTACGGCTGGGCACGGGTAGATGAAAATTGGACCTGTGTGCGGCGGCATGTGAGTGGATGAAATTAGGCCTACAGTCTTCCCCCGAGCAAAACACATATATCGTCACAAACAGATGTACTATTCAACTTTCCCTGGAAAAGTCGATTTCTCAAAGTCGCCCCCTGAAAACCAAATAGTACGCATGTTGAAATAGAACGCACGTGTGTTCTATTCGAATGGTACGCACATATGTTCGATTCGAACAGACAGGTGTTTTATTTAAATAGAACACATTGGTGTTCTATTTGAATCTACTTGAACTACCGTGGGAATTTGTTTTGCTCAGGCTTGAGCCCGGTCTTTTGTCAGCAGTGCACATTTACTTGCATGGAGTCCAAACGGCCAGAGGCAGCTCGTTCGAAAACGTCTGAGCCAATCCTTTACACCGTGGCAACGAGGCCACAGTGTTCGAACAGTGGCCCCATTTTTTCTTAGTTGGACAGTGTCGATTTATGCATGTCATCCTTGCGCCTCTTTTGGCCATGCTAATCTTGTCTGTATCGTTCCAATTATAATGGATGTCTCGACAGGTAAGGAGTACTAAGGACATATATTCTATGTATCGTTCCAATTTTAATGAATGTCCCCACAGGTAAGGACATATACTTATTTTGGGGGGAGGGGGGCATTTTCAAGAGTTAGTACCCTATATAAGTAGCATAATGCACGTGCGCTATATATGAATAAAACGCACACCCTGCGTTCCATTCGTAAATAATGCACGTGCGTTTTGTTCGGGGGAAGACTGTAGGTGTGGCTGGGTAGGGTTAAGGCTTTTATTGCAGATGCTGGGTGGGCTGGGTACCGGTAGGAAATTTATGAAATAAGTCAGGATGGGCTGGGTCTGGGGAAACCTTTCATGTCTACGTGATTCCACATACATATGACGCATCAAGGCTTGGGCTGGACCGGATATGGGTAGGAGAAAATTTTGGTTTGTTGACGTCTGGTGTGTGTTCCTTTTTCGATTCTCTGCCTGGATCACGAGTTCGAATCGTGATGGGTACAAGCATGGTTGGGGCTATCCCCCATTTCAAGATGGATTTGATAAACTTAGGACAAGTTGGTGGAACTTGGGTACAAGATGGGAGCTTGCAACAAGTTTACAGATTGGGACAAGTTGGGAACTTCCACATTTACAACTTGGGATAAGTTAACAGCTTGAGGTAAGTTGGGAGAGCAACCCTTGCAGCGAAGGGTGGGAGATTACTACAAGTCTAGCATTTTACGTAAGCGAGTCAGGATGTTGCTGCAGACTTTCACATTTGCTATAATGAGTTTGAGAACATATTTAAGCAGGTATGTTGCTCTTCTTACCTTCTTTCTGCCAATTTGATTTCCCTTGAGGAGAGTTGCTTTCCCTTTCATGTTCTCTCTCGGCTGCCCTTTCGACCTCGCCATCATAGAGTGAGGCCTCTTTCAGCAGTGCTCTCATACCTGCGTACTCAAGATTCTCGCACCCTTCACTTTTTCCAGCATCGCTCGATTCTCCACGTTTACCAGGTGTTGGCACAGCCACATCCCCTTTTCCTGATTGAACTAATGGCGGCCCAGTGACCTGTCCAGGCTGTCCTACATTCCGTGACCCAGTTCGCTTCAATTCGCCGCCCACTTGGGACACTATGAGTGGGCCAACTTGTTCCTTCACATTCAATATGAGGGAGCGTATGCTGCCAAATGTTTGCGCTTCTGCCTTTACAGAGTCGACAATTCGAACCAGGTCCAGGAGCCTAGCCCACAGAACTCCATTCTGAGTAGTAGTTGGCATCATGCAGCTTTTCCTGAGGCGCTGTGCCGGGCCAAACTCTGCCAAGTCGTCGCAATGGAGAAGTCCTTTCACATGTGACCGGAGGCAACGAATGGCCTTGAGCAATGGCATGGCTCGCAGTTGATGAAGGTAATGCAAGCAAGCGTTTATATCATCGCTCAGATGAGGGACAAAGCATTTCATGAGCTGCAAACATGCAGCATCATCAGTCTCAGAAACAGCGAGCCGCAGCACCGCCAGCACGCTATCAAACACGGCACCTGTGTTGCCTTCCCCAATCCCTCCGTCTCTTCCACCATCGATATCACTGCCAGAATGTCCACTTCCCTTGATTTCACACGGAACACCATGTGCTCTCAGTAACTGGCACAATTCAAGTCCTATTCGCTGTAGGCGATAAAGAACTGCCACATCTTTCAGCCCTATTCCTTGCTGCTGCACCAGCTCGGCGATTGCCTCTGCCACTGCAGCCACCTCACACTGCACATTCCTGCACTCGCAAACCCTTGTGAGTGAACCAGTTGGGGAAATTGTGCGAATGTTCTTCCTGTGACGGTTGCTGTTTCGTGAAATGAGAAGCCGAACAGCGGCCACAATGGCCCCTGTGCTACGGTAGTTCTGCTCTAGCATTACCACCTTGCTAGCAGGGAAGGATTTCCGGAAAGCATTGAAGTTTTTCATCCCGGCTGCTCCTCGGAAACTGTATATTTGCTGATCATCATCCCCAACAATCGTCACTCCATCGTGGTCTCCGCACAGCAGTCTCAAAAGCTCAAACTGTGCTGCATCTGTATCCTGAAACTCATCCACTTCAACCACATGCATGGTGCATTCAGACCTCAAAAGAGTAAAAAAAAACAAAGAACATCAAGCATGCCACTAGTGTCCAGTTGCCGTCCTTCGTGATGAAATTGACAGAGATGATCCACGACTGCAGAAAGGGAACATTCCTCGGCTCTCGGCGGGCACCTATGAGACAGCAATGTGACCATTTTTCCAAATTACGGGAGTTAACCTGGTATAAAACATGGTTGAATTTGGGCTTTCGGGGGCAAACCTGGTTGAACCTGGACAAAATCTGAATTTCAGGAGTACAAGGCCTGGATGGAAACTGGTTGAAAACCAGCCAGCTACACTTACAAGAATCAAGTCTCATCCATAAGATGGCGCGATCGACTGTCACCACCTAATTGTTCACACGCATTGGGATGGTCACTGCTGTTCATGTCTTTTCCAGCACCAGTCTTGAACACCAGTGACCATCCCCATTATGTTTTCACAACTCTCTCACCATTGCATAGCTAGTGATCTACACTGTGATCAAGCTCTTTAAAAGGGCCTTTACCCGATATAGGCCTCAAGCCTTGTAAAAATAAAGCAGCACGGGTTTTGAAAAGGTAAAGCATTGTGAAAAGGTATCTCGCCAGGGCTCAGAAACGTGAAAGCAGGTCAAAGGTCAAGTTCTCTATCAACAGGCACATCTAAGTCTAAGGCAAAGGGTATTGTCAAAAGACTTACCTGTTCACCAGGAGCTGTGTATGTCGTGTCTGTTCGGGTAAGAGTGTGTCTGTACGTGCAGGCACTGTACCTGTTCGTGTAAAGGAAAGTGCCTGTTCAAGCAGTAAATGTGTCTGTTCGTTGAGAGTTGTGCCTGTCCGAAAGTAAAGTCAATAGGCACAGTCCCAGTTCTGGTCTAAGTCAAGGGGTTGGTCCAGATCCAGACTTTCAAGTCCAAATACAGGCCGAGAGGCCTCAGCAGCAGTTGAACTTCATTGGGACTCTACTGGGACACATGCAATGCAGGGTCTGGGACAAAGGACAGGCCGAATTGAGCTAATGCAGACCCAGCAAGGAGTGACCAGCACTATAAAGGAAGCTGCCTACCTCATTTCTCGCCAGATCTCCACTGGCTGCAATGCGTGGAAGTGCTGGTGCACTTGTGCGCTGAGTCAGGAGGAACAGCGCTGGAGGTAGAAGATGCGCTAAATGCAGGAAGAAGCCTGTACGTTGGAGATGACGCAGCCATAGCTGCCCAGCGAGTTAGCATTAGTAGTAGTGGGTTAGTATGTAGCTATGAGTAGTATTCAGAGTAGATCCTCATGAGTGAAGGGTGTGTATGCATCGCAGGAGGAAGGGACTGAGGCTGAGAGTGTTCATTCAAGGTTCGGCTATGGAAGATACTTACCTGAGTTGGATGTGACCTGCAGAGGTGGCGCTGACGAGTAGTGACCACATTGATGACTTGGAGACTATCTGCAGGAGTAGTGCTGATTCACTGGAAGTCATAGGGATGAGTTGACAAGAGATTGGTGTTGCGCTGATGAGCGCTGAACTCAGGGGAACTTTGAAACACTTTGTATTCATATTTCTGATAATATAAGCTGCGAAACTCGGTCCTCTTCTTCTCTACCTTTGTCTATGGTTGAGACTATTGATCACTGCGTGTGAAGATGATGCATGACATGTACACATCTGCGTGAGATGGTCCCCAGGACCCATGCATCTTGATAAGGTTGGCACTCACAATCATAGAATCATTTCGAGTGTGTGAAATGTCCATTTGAATTGTCTTCTTTTTTTCTTTTTAACCGGTGACAATCTTTGTCAAATCCTGACTCCCCGCCGAAGACTCAGCAAAGTGGGCCAGTAGTCGGCAGCGAGATGGACACGACTTTGTTTGTGGGCTCGGGAAGGGAAGCTGACAGACAGCATCGCTTCGCGCCTTCAGGTAGTAAGATACGCCGATGATTTCGTTGTTCTTCAAAAGACTTGAAGAGTTGTTCAGGGTGATCGAGGCTTCCTATCACAATGACTCCAACCCATGGGCCTGCACTTTGTTTCAACGTCCATTACTCAACGCTTCCTCCCATTATGGCCAAAAAAGGAACCTGAGTAAGCGGCACTGATTGCTTCCTAGGGAGGAAGGATTCACCTCTGCTCCACCCCTGTTTCTTTGCCAATCCTGGGTCATTAAAACAATGGTCGTGTTGCTCCTCTCGGAACTACCCGGCTGCCTGAGTGTCTCATGAGATCCTAGAGCCGTAACAGCTGGCTGGTTAGAGCTTTCTGCCTCTGGTGCCAGCTCTCCCATCGTGTCTCTCGTATCGGGAGTTGTGTGTTTTGTGGTTATGCATGCGTCTCAAGAACAGAGTTTCTGAACTTTCTTGCAATTTTTTGTGCGGGACTGCAGACATCTGAGAGATGATCTGACTAAGTGGGCCGTCCCCTGCTTATTTTGAAAACCCGACTCTTACTCACTTCTTGTGCAGATATATGTTGTCACTGTTAAGATGTTGATGGTGCCTCTTGCCACCAGAATACCTTTTGTATATCCTCGTTCTTGATTTCTTGTTTCTTAAATTCTTATATAATCTATATGCAATCAGACTCACTTTCCTCTTCTTACAACATGCATGCAAACCATACTTGCAAGCAGACGGACCGGACGAGCGTCCGGTCCGGTCCGCTTTGCCGCGTGCGGCACCCTCCCCCCGGACAAGACGAACCCGGACCGGACCAGACGGGGGCGTTTTTTTCTTTTTTGGGGGGGAGGGTGGGGCGTAACTGGTCGTCGGGCGCACATTCGTGCGCCGCACAGGTCCGCTCCGGTGGTCTGCCGCACGTGCGGAACCGCCCGGATGGCGTCCGCTTGCAAGTATGATGCAAACAGATGGCGGTACACACTGGTGCCCGGCGCCCACACAAAGCTCAGAGATATTATGGCCGGGAAGTTCGGCGAGAACACAGTTCGGATACAAACTCGCTTCCCACTGGCTATGACGACTGAGCGCCCACACATCAACTGTCCAACACTGTACTCGCGGCGACAATTCACACGCACTTAACCCTGGATCTCCCTGGATATCCCACGCACACAAACTCTGTATCATACACACACACTGAAACCTATCTCTAAACTATAGCGGCTATGGCTGCTCAACCACTACTGGCTATGGACGCTCTATCTCCATTCAGCCCACTTCGACTTCGGGCATCTGCAGACCACCTCGCACAAGACGCCTGGGCAGCGCTTCCGCATGGCTCACGCAGGAATCAATGAATGGCTGGACACTGCCTCTTGATTTATACTTCTGTTGGTCGCTGGTCTGCCCCCTTTCCACAGGGCCATTGGTGCATACAGTCCCAGATGGTACTTGCTGACTGGACTAAGTGAGACTGGGACTGGGTACCACTGACTAAGCAAGGTTGGACTCACCACTTGCCCACTTGCCTCTGGTCTGCTGTGAGCAACGTTCGAAAGGCCACTTCCGGACCTTCCAGAAACCTGCGGACTTGGCCTTTCGGAACTGTAGCAGCTACGACCTTGACCTTTCAGGACTGTAGCAGCTACCACCTTGACCTTTCAGAATTGCGACAGCTACGGCCTCTACACAACTATGACCCCTACTCGACAGACCTACGGTTCAAGATCCGACAGCTACTTCAACCTACGACAGACAACAACTGACTCCTAAAACGCAGGTCACGGGTTCAAACACACAGGGGATCGAGCCCTGGGATCCGCATCTGCTACTGCGAAGGTGAAAACCGTTTCAATATATTACTGTGAGGCACAAGGCCTCGATACGCCCTACTGGGCCCTATTTTCAACACAGTCGGCCGCCCTAAGTGAAGGCAGGCTCGACTGAGGCCTACAGGCCATTTTTGGGGTCACCGCGCAACTGGGGAAATTCAGGCAGTTGCGCAGCGCCAGTTGGTTGGAAGCACCCAGGCCCAGGCTGCCTTTCATCGTATGAAACTGAGGCAGGCCCTGGGACGGATACACAACATGGACCGAACAGATGGCTGAGGGTAGTTGGGTGCTGGTAACCACCACAGGCCCTGGGCCTGTTGCCTTTGGACTGAGGCTCAGCCTCGTCGGGCCTACCGGAAGCTTCTGGGCCGAGGCCCAGTACCGCATTATCCCACGCAGCAGCAGGCCACTTCGATATAGGGAAGGGCCTGCCCACACATTGGACATTCGGGCACTCGCTGCATGCTGCGCAAGCGCTGCTGCGCTAACGCTGCTGCGCTAACGCTGGCCAGCGCTCACACGCTCACGGGCGTGCTGGAAGGAGCAGGCAGCCATAGCCGAGCTGCGCTGCTGTATGCTGGATGGGGCGCATGGTGGTCCTTGGGTGCATGTGGCATCTGTGAGTTGGGGAACGAGGTTGTGAGTGATACGAGAGACACACCTGGTGCTTGAAGCGTACGGCATTGGCCAAGATCTGCTCGTACTTCGGGGAGCTGTTGACATCATCGGCGGCATTGTAGATAGGCTAGATAGGATCCGCCAGTTGTAGTCTGGGCGCAAAGCGCCAGATAGGATATCGACATTGGTTCTTCATTGATGATGATGAGACTATTCCAGCATTGTCAATTATGAGCTTTTGCTGTGCTCTTATTTGGTGAAACTCGTGATGCAATTCTGCTATTGGCTCGAGGTCACAACTATCTGGTCACATGTGTATGATGCTGTTTGATTTCTGGAGTTCGCTATCGCTCATTTTCCTTGCATTGCTATTATTATTTTATTTATTTTTATGCAAAGAACCAGTCCATGAGAAGTTGAGAACACAAAAAATTACTGAGCCCATGTGGCTGAATGGAACACCCATGAACTGTTGATAACGGTAATAAGCTCAAATCCTGAGGGACTCAGATCATGAAAGGATTTCATGCTGCAGACACCCGAGTCCTGGTTCCAGGGTCCCGGATTGTCCCAGTCCCAGTTGTGGTCGTAGTCCCATCTGTCCCGGTAGGTAAGTCCCAGGTAGGGTCTGTAGGGTCCTAGGGTCCGTAGGACGTT